GTTATGTCAATCGCTCCAAGGGTCGGATCCCAGAATAAACAATTGGATAAAGACCATTTTTAGCGTGCTTTTCGCAGCGCAATGTTATGCTCAGAGTGGCGCTTGCGCGTTGCTGTGTCAACCGCCACGACACCAAATTCCCCGATCCCCCGATGGCGCTATCGCTGTATCGAAGTCGTGGGGGCTGCATCCTTCTAATCGCATCTATTATGTAATCTCGCGCCTCAGTGCGATGGCTGGAGAGTCTCGCCTTCCAAACGCCAGAATAGAGAACAGTGGAGACCACTTAACACGATGGCCCGTGCACGGCGCGTCTGTCGCGTCGCTGGGTGAACATGGAGACCCGCCGGCCCCATCGCCTCTTTATCCAATTTGGCAGCCCATGTTTGTCCGCGCTGGAGGCGACGACTGACCTCTCTTTTCAACGACATCCCGCACTCCGGACCACCGCCCGGCGCCGATGCGACCGCCCAGCGTACCGAACCACTTAATTTCTCCCGACACCGATCAAAGTTCATGAACAGCCTAACCCCTCCTCGCCATGAGTTTCGCCAAAGACTGGCGAGTCCAGTTCTTGGACGACGAGCCGTTCTGCGACCCAGCTCACGATGATGCCGAAGTCCTTTGTGAAGGATCCGACGACGAATATTACGACAGCCCTGAAGAGAGAAGACGCCATATCGAGGATGCCGCCCACCGATATCTAAGCGGCCAAGCCCCCGTGCTGTTGACGTCGGTGCTACGAGGCCCGTTTGAAGGACCAGATGCGAAAGGATGGGTCAACCCTTGGCGGTCGAGGAGAGGCAGAAACCCACCCGTCGCCGTCGTGGAGACTGTCGCCGAGGCTGAGGTTGCCGAGAGTGAGCTATCAGACGCCGATGACACGGGATCTTGCCATCTACCCAGCCCCAGGAGTCTGGACCAGGTCGGGGTGACGGCCAACCCGCATATGACAGCAGAGGATCTCGAGAGGGTACATGCTTGGAGGAGCGCGACAGAGTCAGCAATACAACCAGACGACGAGCCAACATGGTCATTTGCAAGCGATATTTCTCTATCGCAGTCTCAATCTCACAGGAAACGCCGTTCTATGGGATCAGACTGGCTCAAGCGGAAGGACAACAAACGTCGGAAAGCAGAAGAGGAAGATGTCGAAGGTGCATCCATTGTCGCCTTACCTAACACGCAGCACCCTGGTCAAAGCCGAGATCTTTCTCAGGATATGTATGGGACACTACCTATGATTATGGATGAGACTGCGCAAAGCCTGCCGGGTACCCAAAGTCAATCAAGGTCGTCCAGAAGGGCATTGCAAAGGTCGAATAAATCTTCATCACAACAACCCCCGCCTCAAACACCAGCCAAACCCACTGCCAGCCCCGAGGAAGAGAACCCCGCCCCGCTGAGCACACCTGTCCAAACACCTCCATCTGCGAAGATGTCAAAGGCGACCCCACAGACAAACGCGAGAGAAGAGGCACCCGCACAGGTCGATGTGGAGATGCAAGCGAAGGATACCGACGACAGCATTGAAGTTAAAATCGAATTCGAGACTCAAGAGGACGAAAGCTTTCTGTTTCGCGCACGGCCTAGAAGCCGTGGTACTGCTGCCAATGCCAGTGTTGCTATCAACGACGAACATCATTCCTCTCCCCCCGCCCGTGCGACGCCAGACACCGAGTCGGAGTCCGAGTCGGATTCAGAACCAGCCGATGAAGCCATGGACCTTCACGGAGAAACTTGCTTTCCTGACGACACCAAAGCGACTTCGCCTGAGTCTAGTGGAGCCGGTGAGAATCCGAAGGAGGACATCGCAGACAACCGCCAACCTGAGACGGGAATCAAGGGGACAATACTTCAACTGGCCGCAGATTTGGCCTCGGATATTGCTATGAGGAGAACAAGCATCTCGGAGACTGCAGATATGGCAGGGACAATCCATTGTGCAGTTGGCAAGAAGCAAAAGGAGACCAATGCTCAGGACGAGCAAGTATCGGCCAGCCAGGAACGGACGATAGTCGCGCAACCTGAGTCGCCAGAGAAGCCGAAGCATAATGATACCAGTAACAAAGAAGTGCCGGCCGAGCAGACACAGACGGCAGCGATGCCACTCGATTTGCCAGAGAAGCAGAGGGCATCGACACCCAAGCAATCCACTGCCCAACCAACCCCAGCCGTCGTACTAGACCAACAAACTGCCACCGCCGTTTCCCCGGACATGCAGGATCTTCCCATCAGCAGCGCCGCCCAGGATATTTCCGGACAAAGTCCCTGGTCGAAAACCGAAAAGTCTCGTCCGAGTGGTTCTTGTCCTCCTGCTCAATCGGCGGGGCATCAGTATCACAGCTATACTATGGAGACGCCCATGGGTGGACAAAAGTACACCAATCCAGAGACGCCAATCGTTCAAGACGACGACTTCCAACCAACCCCAATGAAGTCCGCGCACATCCCCCCTTCAGAGTCCATGATTGGGATCGTCCAGACAGATATTCAACGGTCGGGAGAGCATGCATCATCTAATAATCAACCCGAAGACGTCACCGCTGTCCACGAGAGCCCAGCTGTCCCAGCATCCCAGCAAAGTCCTTGGAAGGCGGACGTGCCTGCCATTGCCCCAGTGCGCCAGCTTCAATCGATCCGGGAGAACAGCCAGCACAGCTTTCTAGATCCCAGCTACCAGAGCCCCTGGGCCTCGAGCCCGCTCAAGATGCGTCAGGTTGCTGCAGAAGCTTTGGCCTTTAACTCATTCAACAGCCCCTTACCCGCCTCACCCTCCCCGCTTGCCTCATCAACTCCAGCGTATGTGCCTACGCCCGTGGCCGAACCCGTCATCGAAGAGAAGTCACTACCTCCCATTAAGACTCCGAGAGCTTCGACGCCTGAGCCGATCCTTGAGATCAAGCGTTTTGCGAACTTCATGTCACCTTCTCCTGAAAGACCTCGACGCCAGCCCAAGAGGGCGCGCGTGAGTGGCGGCCATCTTCCAAGCACGCAAAACCTGTTGGCGGCTACAGTCGACAACCCCTGGGACGCAACTCCTAGACCAGCCAAGCGCGTCAGATGGGCTCCAGAGATTGAGGGTGGTGACTTCCCTGATGGCAGTGATCCCGCCACCCCCTTGGTGACCAGAACAGCCTCTCCGCCGCCAGAGTTGGCAGTAGCAGATCTTCCCACCGGCGAAGACGACCAGTTCCAGAAGCACTTCCAGGCCGTCTCGCGCAGGACCAAGATCACCCACAGGCTCCTTCCGTCCGCGTCACAGCAGATTCTCGAAAGTCCGGGGCCAATGGCCATGGCCGAAGCCTTTGTCACAGCAGATGCCCTCGGAGCAAAAGCTTTAGCGGCGCCCGAGGCACTCATGGTGGCGTACGATGTACCGAGAGCCTCGCAGCAGCCACAGCAGCTGGTGTCTCAGGAGGTCGATGACGTGGATGCTGTGCTCGAGAATCTTAATGAGTTCATTGATATGTGCGATGTCCAGGCCGATCTCGAGCGCACCAAGGAAGAAGAACGACAACAACGGGAGAAACGGGAGCGGGAAAATCAGGGGCAGCAGAAGAGTGGCATAACGAGTAGTCAACTCTTTGGGAGGTTTTCCAATGGGGGATTCCTGGATGCGGGCGTGTGGGACTGAGTTACGCGTTAGGAGAAGTATCGCTGATGTTAACATGAAGGGAGGGGCAAGGTGTTCAAGCGCTTATCATACCATGTAATTTTGCTTTGCAAGCGTGGTGTTTAGGGTCATTACGATACATAGCTTGGGTCAGAGGGATCGCATGGCGAGCAAGAGGCTACGTAGATGCTTTGTTTAAAGGCGTGCTTGGTGTGTTGCCTAGCATAGATACCCAACCCAGATGAATCGAAAGAGAATATTGAAGCTCAGTCAAGAACATCTCCCAGCTTGCGTGTGTCCTTCGGTAGTCCTGTGTCAAATACTTCCCCGGTTACGAGGGAAGCCATGCTGTGTGAGGTGGCTTGGACGAGCAGCGAGCGAAGTGTGGGTCAAGTGAGGTGAAGGTGAAGGTGAACAACCATTGGTGCCTGCCTGAGGCACACGAGACTGATCCTCCCTCAAGCAACGGCTAACCTCACCTGCCTTTATCACGAGCCAGGCGACCGCTCTGCTCAACCGCGCTATCGGACTTGCTCTGGGTCCAACTGGCTCAACGGGTCGATCGACCTGAGGTGTGAGTGGCTGCCAGGGATCACAGGTTCGGAGCCCGGGGAAGACTTTTTTTTTTCTTCAAATTTGGCTTACCTCGCCTTTAGATCATATTTCATGCCCCAGCTTTCATGCTGGATTTTTCGTGCATTGGTATTCCTCTCTGGGTATGCTGGGCTTTGTTGATTTCGAAGTTATCAAAACTGTTGCAGAGAACGGCACAGCGAAGCGTCATGTCGAACCCCATCTATTGACGATGCCGACATTGTGGAACAGGATGCCCAGGATGCAATCTGTGTCGTTATAGTTGTCGATGAGGCAACTGACGACGAAACCGGAAGGAGATGGAAAGTCTGCTTTCTCAGGTCACAGCTTAATTAATACAAGTCACTGAGCCGCAAAACAAAACACATCGACATGCAGCCTTTTCTGCAGCGTTTTCTCCCCGAATACAAAGCCGCAGATGAAGGACACTCCCAGCAACGACATATCATGGTTTATTGGGTGCATTATCACCTGCAATCAGTCAACATGACAGAAACACGTAAGCAGCATATTGCCTTCACCTACTAGGCCGTGCAAAAGCGCATTAGGAATTGGAGCTGTCCATTTCGTCGAGTATAGTTCTCAGAAAGTCAGTCTCACTGATATATATACCTCGGAGAACGACCCCAGACGTAATCAGTTTGGTAAATTTACATTAAGAGGATCATGCTTAAGATCTGATATTTAAATGCAAGGAAACTTTCGCTAGATCGTTTATAAGGGCTAGCTGTACGTTGCGATCTCGGAAGGGTTAAGATGTGCCAGTCTGAATCATCGTTCCCGAAGGCTGTTATCGCGAGGAATACCACCTTTCTCCGGCCCTCTCTTCAAGCTCAAAAATCCAGTCCAAGTCTTCGAATCTCGCTACCCTCTCAAACCACGCTTCATAGATATCACCTACACTTAGCTTCATGCATCCATCGTAGCTGGCCGGGTCCTCAACGCCCTGGAAGCGTTTCGCGGCGCGCGAGTCTATGAGCCAGACGTAGGAATTCTCATACAGCACATTCCGGGCCTGCCAATCGGGTCAAAGTTAGCCTTACTGACAAGGTAAGAGAGGACCTACCATTCTTTCGGCACGACTCACTGGCTCCAAGTGCGGCGTCTCCTTGGGGAGCGCAGCGAGCGAGCAGAGAGAACCTTCGTCGATGACCAAAAAGTCCCAGAACCGGGGGTTATAACGGCTGTTGGTTTCCATGTCAACATTGCCGAGAGTGTTATCACGCCAGGTCTCGAAAATCTCGACGAGCGACTTGATGTCTTGCTGGCTCGCGCCCGTAAGGTTGGGATAGTGCCTCAGCGCTTTTGAACACCCGCCCTGGTCCTCAACAACGTCCACGGCGAAACGTCGCGCGATTTCCTTAGTAACTGAGGCGTCGGACTTATTACTCCTCACAATAGTCGATATAAACTAGATACTGGGTTACCCAGCGCTTCATTTTTTCAAGGACTTCTTGCCATAGGCGTTGGATTCCTCCGAATACGGGGTGCGTAATACTAATGGGGATGTATCATTTGGGTGGAAATCTAGTGAATGTAGGTGGCTCACTTGTGTAGCCCCACGAACCCTGAGCATACGTAACACCCAGATCCGCACACCGGTAGTAGGAATCATAGAGCTGGTACATGTTGATCATGGCGTTCTTGTCTCTGTCGCTGTTGGATGGATGCATGTAGAGCTTGAAGAATTCGCCGGCTGGCGGAGGGAATGTCTCTGGGTTTGGCATCGTGGACGCGTCTTTTTGAATTGGGGTTCATGATACGTGCTGATTCTCTAGTTGGGAAGCATTGAGGGAAAGGCGGCAGCAGGCAGGGGCTGGGCATCAATAGCTGCCCGGTAAAGGTACCAATCCAAGCCAACATATATAAAAAGAATTGCCGGGAACCGAGAATATCAACCTCGATTAGGCAGACGAAAGAGCAGAAGAAGGACGCCAAGGCAGTCTTGTCCACATGGATTCCGAGTCTGTGGTCCTGCGGAGAACTTTGATGCCTTTGGGACAGACGGTGATGCTGATTAAAAAGCGGCGCAAGAAGATTAACATTGCGTGAAGAACAGGACCAGCCTCGAGCCACCTGCTCCTCTTTTAAACTAACGAAGTCATCCGAATCGCAGCTGTGAATATCCCCAGCAGAAACCAAGAAGGCATCAAGCACAGCAGCCCCGCGTCCATTCCATCCAGCAGCATCAACCCACGCACTCTCCCACCCAAATCCCAAGTTGCAAGAGTGAAATTTTCCTTCTGCCTGGATGCCTCAAAAATTTCAACCCAGCGCGCTCCCCAAACCCGCTCTTTCCACCCATTTCACCACGATGCAGACTTTTCAGGCAGCACCAAGTACGTACCCACCGCACCCACCCTCCAACCCCCGAATTCTCATTGGCTGAAATATCTACTGATCGCGGCCGACACCCGCCCCACACCCCTTCCCTCCGCACCTCTATATAAACCTCTCTTCCCTCCCGCTCTCTTAGTATTTTCTTTCTTCTTTTTTCTTCATGTCGACAATACTTCAGAGAATCATTTCTATAGTATTCGACCTATTCTTGGTTCCCTACAGGAGCCACAGATCCCACCCTGGTTGATGAATGATATCCTCGGCACCCTAGAGTGAAGAACTCTGGTTGCTCTCGATCTGTCCGCAAGGATGGCGGTCGGCGATTCCTTCGCAGGCTGTATAGAGAGCGGTGATGATCTCGTCCCCGTCTGCGGTCTTGCCCTTGTGGCGCGCGGGCGGGGTGGGTGTCGATGGACGTCTGACAGGCTTTTTTCTCTTTTTCATTGCGTGCTGGGGCGCTGTCCCTGGTCGTGAGGAAGAAGATTCCCCGTATTTAAATTTGTGCTGCGTTTGTGTTGGGTCGGACGGGGAAGCTCGCGCGTTCTTGACGCGAGGTTACGCGCTCAGCCTGCTGATATTGCGACAATCTAATTTTTGCCAAGCGAAATGCCAAAATTCCGTTGGGATCGCCTCGTTAATTGACATGACTTGGGCGGATTCATGCCAGGAGCAAGGTCAATCGCGGATGATCCGCGTGGGAAGGAACCATTGTGCATTGTTTCGTGAACTCGGAAACATTTTCAACCAGGGAATGGCTTGGGACAGCAAGCTTCTATTTTTATCTAGCGCCAAGCTTAGCTTCCACATTCCCATGAAAAACCACCCAACGTCAATGAAACCAGAGAATGCCGTAACTCTGAAATGTTGAAATGTGTTCCTTTCTTTTTCTTTTCCTCGTGATGTCGTCCGTGAATTTCTAGTATGACCTCCCCGCGACGTAGCTCTGCGGCCTCGCGTTCTCGTGGTACCCCCACGGCCGCGGGATCTCCTCGACGCCACCCTCCTCGCTGCGCGGCGTGAATTGGTCGAACGAACCCGACGACCGCGGCGGCCGCGGCATGGCCACGAACTCCTCGCGGTCGCCCTCGACGAAGCCCTCGCCCGCGAACCAGCCGTTGGCCTGCGCGGCGGCGGCGCTGAGGTTGAGGTTGCCCTCGCTGACGGAGCGGATCTGCTGGCCCGCCCAGGCGACGGCGTTCTGCGGCGTGAGGGCAGAAGTTCCCGCGGGCCTCAGCACGCCTTGTGTAGTAGGGACAGGTCCGCTGGGGACCCTGTGGATGGGGCGGCCCTTGGGGGCGGCGTCGATGTCGAAGAAGGCAGCGTGGACGCAGACGAGGGCGGCGACCTTGACGATGGTGAGGACGACGCTGAAGATGGAGGAGAAGGCCCAGAGGGCGACGAAGGCGGCGGCGGCGGCGAAGCCAGTCATGAGCTGCTGGGAGGAGGCGTATTTGCGGACGCCGAGGTCGCGGGCAATGTCGCGGCCGTTGTAGGACTGGAGGAAGAGGCCGCCCTTGACGACGCCGAAGAGGGCGGCGAGGACAAGCCAGTGAGAGGTGAGGAGGGTGCCGACGAGGAGGATCACGTAGGCGTTGCCGTGGCGGGGGAGGTTCGTGGACAGGCGGGCGTGGAGGACGTCCTGGGAGTTGGGGAAGCGGAGGTTGGAGGGGTTGAGGAGGTTCGTGACGGGCGTGTCGGGGAGGGCGAGCTCGAAGGACGAGGTGGTCATGGGGGTGCCATTCGGGGTCGTGGGAGCAGCAGAACCGCCGCCGGTGAGGTTTGAGAGGTTCGGGAGGGCCTGGAAGACGCTGTAGGCGGAGGAGAGGTTGCTCAAGAGGCCGGCCGGGGAGACGCCAAAGGTGCTGCTGCTGCTGGTGTTTTTGGTACTGGCGATCTCTGTGCTCGTGCTCGTGGCCGCGGCGGCGGTGGACGAGGTCTCACCGCCGGTTGACTTGCGTTTGCGAGGCATGTCGCGGGGATCTTTGGGGGGTTTGGAGGGCTTGGAGACGACCTCGGGGGCCTTTGAGGATCGGGAAGACTTGGAGGATTTTGAGGACTTGTGCGTCTTTGTCGAGCGTGTCCCGGAGCGTGATCTCGAGCGGGGTCTGGAGGAGGACGAGGAAGAGTCCTGGCCGCGGGCGGAGGGCCTGAGAGAGTCCTCGCTATCATCCCATTTTGAGTCCCGGCGGGAAGATGACGATGGGTAGCCGTAGGGGTCTTCTCTACCCATTTTCGGCGATTTGAGTGTGGGCGTGTGCGTTCTTCTTTGTCTTTTGTGTCGTGTGTCTGAGTGTGCGTCCGTGTGTCGAAGCTGTCCAGAAGAAGCTTCAGAGGAATGCTGTCTGCCGAGGAATGAGTGAACGAGAGTGAGGGGCAGAGTGTCTCTCTGAAGATTGAGTTTTGCAGAGTTTCGGTGAGGTGGTCCGCTTCGGCTGTCTTTTCAGTCTTACCTAAGGGACTTTCCCAAGATAAGGCAGGTATCTGGGAAAGACGGAAAAAAGAAGAGAGATTCGTGCCCGAGGTGGCTCCAGGCCTCGCTGCAGACTGCAACAGTGCCTTGGTGAGTCGACGCTGCAGCATGAGACAGCTCACTGAACTGGACTCAGCTAGCTGCAGCTCAGAAGGCCTGAGAAGAACCCCGCCCTGGCTAGAGCGATTGGCGGGGGAGGTACTGGAGGTACTGCACTGACAAGTGTCCAGTGCCGCCAGTGGTGAAGCTCAGCAGCTGCATGGCGTGGTGGAGCCGCATCCGGATAGCCGCAGCCACGATGCATGGCGCTGCTTGGCGCCCGCCTGCCGCCTGAGGTGCCGCCAGTCTCCCGCCGCCGTTTGCGCTGCGCTGAGCTGACCGCCTTTCCACTGCCAACTTCTTCCCCCCCCCCCTCCCCCTCCCCNCCCCCCCTCCCCCTCCCCCTCCACTCCTCACTGACGGCCGATGATTCCGACACCGCGGGGTACCTATCTTGGATAGGTACGGAACGGATACGCTCTGATCTGTGATTGCCGGTGCCGTGTTTCGCCCGATAGCGGCAGAAAAAGTCTGTACGAGGTACCATACTGAGGTAAGTTTGAGGCCTTGGCAATATTTCTTTGGGCCAGTCTACTGCACCAGGAATTCGCTCTGCATTTCTCGAAGACTTCTATCCGTTCCTGTACTCTAAATTGACTCCTATATAGCATGTTACTACTACTTGAACCAGACGGACGGGATAGCCAGAAGTTTGACAGACGAGACAGACGAAAAGCCTCCGAAGTGGTCTCCGCCTAGGCGCCGTGGTATCCAAGAAAATCGTCTAATGCACCACACCGCTCGGCAAGAACCTTAACCTTGCGACATCATTATGTCCACGCTTGCATTGCGACCATTTCTTACGGATAAACACCCTTCCCGGGCGCTTTCTGGAAAAACGACGCCGGGAGCTCAAACGACGCGTCTACCTTTTGCACCTGCTGTACGCTGTCCCGGATGATGTCGTATCCAAAGTTGTACGCAAAGAACTCCTCGGGATTTTCTGCAATATCAGTCAGCATAGCTCTGTCCGTTACTCCAATGAGTTGAGGACTGTGGCTCAACTTACTCGGCACCCTGTCCGCTGGGATGAACTTGGACGCTTCCTCCCGGATGAGCTCCGGCTCTTCCTGGCCCGCGTTGCTGAAGATCTGCATGACACTGGCGCGGTTTCTGCGGATGTCTTCGTACACGCGCAGCCTGGTCTCGACGTCTCTGACTTCGGCAGAAGCAAGTGCGATGCCGAGGGCCACTCCGTCCTCGATGCCCTGGGCGCCTCCTTGGCCCTGGTCTGTCGCTGCCCGTCAGTCTCTGTTCAGTGCATCCTTAGTAGGGTTGCTACTTACGCGGCAACATGGGATGGGCAGCGTCGCCCGCCAAAGTCATCTTTCCCTTCGTCCATGAAGGAATGGGGGCTCGGTACAGCAAAGCCCACTGCTTCACCTCGGTGGCCTTGCTATGAGGATGTCAGTTTCTAAAACCCTGGTGCAGAGTCAGAGGGATCGCTTACTCCAAGATGGCAAGCACACTCGGGTGGAAGTCAGAATATCTCTCGAGAAGCTTCTCCTTGCCCACAGACGCATGCCAGTCTTCTTTCTTAGTGGACTCGATGTCGTCGTTGTGGAAGATGGCCACAAAGTTGTGCTCCTCGTTGCTGCGCAAAGTCAGCGCTCCATTCCCTCCTCTCACCTTCATCTCAGAACATCCCACTCACTTTCTGCAAGGGTAGGAAACGAGACGCTTCTTGTCTCCCACTAGGAACTTCATCCGTCCATCGTCGCCTTCAGTCCAGAACTTGGTCACCAGATCCGCCTCGATATCCGCGGCTGGGATGAGGAAGCGGAAGCAAAAGTTGTAATGGCCTTGCGGCACCGCTGGGTTGGAGTGGCCAAGGACAGCTTCCACGCCAATTGTGTGTACGCCGTCAGCGGCAATGACAACATCTCCAGTGACGACCTCACCGGAGGCCAGCGTTATTGACGCTCCCTCGGGGTCCTGCGAGTCGTGTTAACCTTACCTTCCCAAAGACGAGCGCAAGGAGGACTCACATATTTCACCACCTCACTCTGCAAATGCACAGTAGCAGGCATTCCCAGCCCGCCCTTCACATGCCCATTTACGCCGTTCGTCCCGTTCTCCAACTCAACAACCTCCGTCGCCAGCCTCTTCAACTCCTCATGCAAATCCACCCGATGCGCAAAGTACCACGGTGCGCCGTACCTCTCCTCGATATAGTCCTCCGTCCCAACGTGGAACTTCTCCAGCGTGTCGCCCTTGGCCCGGAAGCTGCACCGCACCAGCACGAACTTGGCCTTCACAGGGTCCAGGCCCCAGGCGAGCAGCGCGCGCGCCGCGTTGGGGCACACGTGGATCGCGGCCCCGATCTCGTTGTTGAGCGCCGAGCGCTCGTAGACGTGCACCTCGTGCCCGGCGCGGCGGAGGCCCACGGCGGCGGAGAGGCCTGCGATGCCGCCGCCGGCGATGAGAATCTTGAGGGGAGCCATTGTGGCGCGGGGGAAGGAAACGAGTGGGATGGGATGACACAACTTTCCAACGGGAGGTTGATCCGAGGTCTGGCGTTGTATACAGCACAGACGATGGATGGGAGGTGGCTAGTCCAGCGACGACGTGGAAATAGTTCGGCCGACGGGGACAAGAGATGGAGAGCTGCGCTAAGCTGCGCTTGGGGCCATAGACCTGATTTGGCGTCACTATCGCCGATGCGGGTCGATATGGCTCTCAACCCATCTTTGCATGTTGGAGGGGTTCCCGGAGAGCGACACGGCCATGGACCCGACTTCTCTCAGCTCCCCATCGGCCCATGATGCCCTTTCAAGCCAAGAATGCACCCGTCAACGGGTGGCGCGTCCCAACCTGCGTGCGATTGGGAGAGGAGGGGTTCGTCAAAGAGGACAAGGTCTGCAGACCATGAAGCAGCAGAAGGGGTCCTTGTTGGAGCAACCATTCTGCGCGGAACAGGGACCAGTCCGCCGGGGGCCAACGAGTCCAGTCGTCCGGGCCCCAATGAACAAGCATTCGATCCAGTCTGTGCCGCATACGGCGGGGACTTTGGTGTTACATCGCATCGGACGGTTGGTGGGATGCGCGTACGTAAGCCCTTACGGATGCAAATTGCTGCCATGGGAGTGTTGCAGTATTGCCCTTGGGTGGGAGCTTGTTGGTTGAAACTGGTGGAGGGACAAGAAGCTATGCCCTGGTACATGCTTGAAGAAGGGGTTCCTGAGTGGAATTGTGCAGAGAAGACGGGGTGGTTGCTGCGCCGTTGAAGATATATGACCGGGATCATGGGTTATGGACCCGTTTCTGTGGTCCTGGACACTACCACCCCTTGGTTGGAAGAAGGGTTCGCATCCCTGTCGAGCATTTGGTCCAACCTCCGACGCACGAGAATACAACGGGCGATGAAGTGAGCGAAAAGCCTGAGTTTGGCAATTGCCAAATGCGCATGTTGTTGAAGCCCTGTTATCAAAGTCTCATCGGAGTTGGAAAGGGGACGAACGATATTGGTAAAAGTCTCTTGATCGACAACCACGTCTCGGTGAACTCTTCAACTTTCCCTTGATTCTTCGTCCTTCACAACTTTCGTCCTCATCACCAACTCTGATTCAATCGTTATCAAACATCCAAAATGTCATCTCCGAAGGAAGTTGTCTCGGACAACGTCCAGGAGACTCCCTCCGCCGACCAAACACAAAACACAGTTGCGCCTTCTAGCCGCGATGAGCCAAAGGAGAGCATCGAGGACGCCAACGAGCCCGTCCCTCACCTGCACGCAAAGACTTTCTTGACAGTCTTCGCTGTCTGTGTCATCTACTTTGCCCAGCTCATCAATGTCGTCGGCGCAGGAGCAGTACGTTGTCCAACCTCGCCTCTTAAGCTTAATCTCGAGGTCAAAAAAAGTCTAACACTCCAAATTCCTCAAGCAAACCCAAAACCTCGCCGCCGTTCTGGGCGACAGCTCAAACAGCGTCTGGCTGACCTCCACAATCGCCATCATGACCGTCGTCCTCTCCCCCATCGTCTCCCAGGCCGCAGACTACTGGGGCCGCCGCTGGTTCCTCATCGGCCTCACGGCCTGCGGCATCGTCGGCTCCGTCGTCGTCGCCCGCGCCACATCCATGGCCATGGCCATCGCAGGCTTCACCGTCACCGGCTGCTCCTACGGCGCCCAGCCCCTCCTGCACGCCGTCGCCTCTGAGGTTCTCCCGCGCCGCTACCGCCCCTGGGCCCAAGCCGCCGACAACCTCTCCGCCGCGCTCGGCGGCCTCGTCGCGCTCCTCGCTGGCGGCGCCCTCACCCGCAACGGCAACGCCGCCGGCGGCGTGCGCAACTACTGGTACATGGCCACCGCCGTCTACGCCGCCGCCACGCTCCTCGTCCTCGCGCTGTACAACCCGCCCAAGACGGCCAAGCAGACGCAGTTCACCTTCTCGCAGAAGCTCGCCAAGCTCGACTGGGTCGGCTACGCGCTCCTCTCCTCGGGGCTCGTCCTCTTCTGCATGGGTCTCTCGTGGTCGCAGAACCCGTATCCCTGGACCGACGCGCACACCGTCGCCCCCTTCGTCGTCGGCTGCGCGCTGTGCGCCGCCCTCGCGCTCTACGAGACGCGCTTCAAGACGGACGGCATGTTCCACCACGGCCTCTTCCGCCGCGGGCGCAACTTCCCCATCGCGCTGGTCTGCGTTTTTGTCGAGGGCCTCGTCTTCTTCGCGGCGAACAACTACTTCGCCTTTCAGGTCGGCGTGCTCTACGAGACGGACGCGCTGCGCACGGGGCTGCGGTACGGCGTCACGATGATTGTGTACGGCGTCGCGGCTGTTCTGGCCGGGCTGTGGTGCTCCAAGACGAGAAACGTGCGCTGGCCCACTGTTGTGGCGTTCGTGTCCATGATCATCTTTTTTGTGTGCATGGCGACAACGACGCCGACGACCTCAGAGCCTGTTTGGGGGTACCCTGTATTCCTGGGCATCGGTCTCGGAATTTGTTTGTGCACGCTAGTCACGGTAGCGCAGCTTTCTACGCCCCCTGAGCTGATTGCCATTACGAGCGGTCTAATGATCGGGGTCAGGTCGCTAGGCGGCTCCATTGGCCTTGCAGTTTGTAAGTTGCCTCAAATACGTCCGCAACACGCAACAACTTGAAGTTGAAAGGGTTGCTAACATGCGCTGTTACAGACAACGCGATCTTTACGGACCAAATGTCACACATGGGGACCAACATCGCCGCCGCCGTCCTCCCACTCGGCCTCCCGCAGTCATCTCTGCCGCAGTTCATCGCCCTCCTGGCCGCGCAAGACACTGCTGGCCTGGCGCAGGTCGAGGGCGTCACGGTCGACATCATCCAGGCCGGAGCGGGTGCTCTGCTGAAGACGTACAGCCTCGGATTCCGCTTTGTTTGGATCGCGGCCGGGTCCATCACCGTTGCCGCTGCCATTGGTAAGTTGTAATCTCATCTGAACGTTTGGTTCACGTGCACTAATGTCGATCGCGTAGGGGCTTTCTTCCTGGTGGAGCTCGAGAACGAGTTCAACATGCACATTGATGCGCCGGCAGAGAAGGATGATGACTTGTATTCCAACAAGTCGTGAGGGTATTTGCTATGGTCATTACGCCACAAGACTTTAATCCGAGCCGCGCTTGGAACTATGGCCACGGGCTATTAATCATTAATTAGATTGTCACGAGACTTAGATACGACAGTTGAGATAGTTACGAGAATGATGAAGCGTAGTTTGCACCATCCGGGGCGCCGTAACTTGCACAACTTGACTGCTCATTCGTCTGAGGAAATCCAGTTCGTCTATGCAAGAAAACGACAGCCAAACGCAAACAAGATTTCGTCTTCGCTCCAAACCCGTCGAACCCATGTCAATATCGCGTAGCAAATTCTGCAACTCGGTGACCAACTCCAAGTCGCATTTCCAAGTTCCCAGTCCTGCAGACATCGTACGAGGTTGCATGTACCAATGTCGGGGCAGGGTGGAACCGTATCCGTACTTTTATCGCTGTTGGTGCCAGGTTGAGCAAGAAGCCAGCGAAGAAGAAGCCAGGGCAGGGGCCGGGATGCATGTTGCGAGAGATGTGGATATTTCTGAGATCGGAAAGTGGCCCCTCCTTTGCTGCCCTGGTCCCGCGTCCTCGTAGGGATGCCGTCACTACCACAAGGAGTGTCCCTCTGGGAGCATTCAACATGAGAATCATCGGTATTTGCGTTTCTCATTTCTGGACGCTTGTACGGTCGTCGTCGAGGATGGCGTCCTGCCACAGGTGTAACTGTGAGAGTTTATACAGGCATATTGTCCTGAGATCAGTGGACTGCCGAGAGCAAGGGATCCTCGCTAGCCTGATTTCCAAGTTCCGGGGAAGCGCGAAACTTTATCTCTTGGGGATTTTCTGCCCGGCATTTGCTGTTCTAGAACTGTCATGTTGCGATGATCACGCAGCCACAACTTACGTCGTCTCATCTTCCAACATAGAAGAAGGGGACAGGAGAGGAAATGATTTCCTTGTGGGAGAGAGAACATCGGGGGGCAGCAATGCGACCTGGAGATGCTGACCGGGGTCTCTCAGAGTTGGATTTTGGGCTGGCACGGTGGGTATTTCGGCTATCCCATCGGCTCCATCTGTGACCTTTTGGCCGGCAAGGGAGCTGCCAACGACTGGTTCACAGGATCTCGTATGTTGACGACCCGCCGAGGAGGATGTTCTGATGCAGGGGCCGGAGAGTGTCCTTGGTTTTACAAAACGTTCCTGGATTTACTCGGACGGAATATTTGCCGCACAGGGCCGATGGAGGCCAGAGGCAAGCCTCGTGGCTCGGATTCTCGTAATTACTTCGCATTGATGTGAACCTGTGAAGTGGTCATGATGAACTGGCAGATGACCTACGGAAGAACTCCGGCAGGCGACGGCTGGGTGAAACATCTCTGCAGGGCGTCATCGCGTTGATGGATGGTTTCCCTGCTCTTCGGGCAAACTTGAACCCCGAGATTTCAGAATGCACCTTGCAGCTGAGTGTACACAGCCACAAGGACGTAACAGTGCATGCGTAGATGAGACGCAGTCGATGTTCAGGGTAGCTGTTTGACCAGGCCCAAGAGACTGAGGGCACCCTTCTCTTCACACTAGAGCAGTTTGCGCCGTAGAAGATGTGTCTGGTACTGTGAAATGCACCAATCGAGATCACTGCACGATTCGACCAATCGAGATCACTGCACGACTCTGTCCTCAATTGTGCAATAATGCTCAAAGGCCTCCCTTCATGTAATCGACCGCAACATCGAGATCATTGGAATCATTGAAATCATCATTGACGAGTGTCTCGGCTTTTGGCGGCGCGCTAATCCCGTTCCTGTGTTCCTGAACGGACGAAGCAGCTCAGCATCAGGATGCACGTGCTTCGAACCTTTGAGCATGGAAATGGCGTTCCTGCATGCGGCGTTTTGTCGGAATCCGTCTGAAAAGCCATTGAGTAGGTAATACGG